GATGTTGGAGTTTGGATTGAGTTTCTTTCCTTTCTTCCTCTTCCTTCCCCTATTTCTTGTCCCTTTCGTTTTTGGCTTTTTTCGCTTTCTTTTTGCTGTCCCACCCATGGAAATATTTCCCGGTGGGTCTGGCTTATCGCCTTCGAAAGAAGTGAATAAATGAGACATAATAGCAATGAAAAATATCAATTGTGCAATCATAACCATGTATAAACAATTAAAATGAAACAATTCTAGAACGTTTTGGTGTGACTATCATCATCGGAACATCGTCACATAGTAAGAATCACTAAAAAAACCAGATATATAGCTAGAGTAATATGTAAAGAAGCGTGAGAATGCAGCACAGCTAGCGGTTTTTGCATAGCGCGTGTAGTGTGAACCTTTGCAGTGTATCTGAGAATGGTAGCGGTAGATGAATGTGGCAGCTGTGAGTGCGTGTGGACAAACCTGATGAGTGCGTATTATTTAAAAAGTGTGAGTGCTACAGCATTTTCTTTTTGCTTGCATAGAACAGGGTCACGTGTGCGAATATATACAGCTTCCAACACCTGCAACTGCTTAAAGAAACGTGCGCAACAAATAACACTAAACCAGGAATCGTCAAACAACTTACGACAATCCGGACTGGACAGCAAATGCTTCTAGATGGCAGACTTGCTCTTGTCGATGTCGAACTCCTCCTCGACATCTGACCTGACCTGGTCATCAAGCAGCTGAAAATGAAAATACTAAAAGAAAATAATTTAATTCCCTTCACATTTCGTGCTACTAGTACATTAGACATGGTTAGAATTTTTACAGTTCACGATATTTTCGGCGGTAGGCCTGCATCGTTTTTTGTGTGTGTAGACATAGCATTTTACAGTTCACGCTATTTTCGGTGGTAGGCCTGCACCGTTTTTTGTGTGTGTAGACATGGCATTTTACAGTTCACGATATTTTCGGCGCTAGGCCTGCACCGTTTTTTGTGTGTGTAGACATGGCATTTTACAGTTCACGATATTTTCGGCGCTAGGCCTGCACCGTATTTTGTGTGTGTGTAGACATAGCATTTTACAGTTCACGCTTTTCTCGGCGGCAGGCCTGCACCGTTTTTTGTGTGTGTAGACATGGCATTTTACAGTTCACGCTATTTTCGGCGGTAGGCGCCTGCACGGTTTTTTGTGTGTGTAGACATGTCATTTTACAGTTCACGCTATTTTCGGCGGTAGGGCTGCACCGTTTTTTGTGTGTGTAGACATAGCATTTTACAGTTCACGCTATTTTCGGCGGTAGGCCTGCACCGTTAGATCCAACGATACTCGTATCCCAAACCCAAAATACCGTCGTCGATTTGGTACCGTTTCGACGATAGAAAGCTCTTTTTAGCGGGAGAACGAAACGGTAAGATTCTAACTACATGTAGGCTTACCTCACACGTCTATCATCTATCATCTTTCGTCTATCATCTATCATCTATCATCTATCATCTATCATCTATCATCTATCATCTATTATCTATCATCTATCATCTATCATCTATCATCTATCATCTATCATCTATCATCTATCATCTATCATCTATCATCTATCATCTATCATCTATCATCTATCATCTATCATCTATCATCTATCATCTATCATCTATCATCTATCATCTATCATCTATCATCTATCGTCTATCATCTATCATCTATCATCTATCATCTATCATCTATCATCTATCGTCTATCATCTATCATCTATCGTCTATCGTCTATCATCTATCATCTATCATCTATCGTCTATGGTCTATCGTCTATCGTCTTTCGTCTATCGTCTATCATCTATCATCTATCATCTATCATCTATCATCTATCGTCTATCGTCTATCATCTATCATCTATCATCTATCGTCTATCATCTATCATCTATCATCTATCGTCTATGGTCTATCGTCTATCGTCTTTCGTCTATCGTCTATCATCTATCATCTATCATCTATCATCTATCATCTATCATCTATCATCTATCATCTATCATCTATCATCTATCGTCTATCATCTATCATCTATCATCTATCATCTATCATCTATCGTCTATCATCTATCATCTATCATCTATCGTCTATCATCTATCATCTATCGTCTATGGTCTATCGTCTATCGTCTATCGTCTATCGTCTATCATCTATCATCTATCATCTATCATCTATCATCTATCGTCTATGGTCTATCGTCTATCGTCTATCGTCTATCATCTATCGTCTATCGTCTATCATCTATCGTCTATCGTCTATCATCTATCATCTATCATCTATCATCTATCATCTATCATCTATCGTCTATCGTCTATCGTCTTTCGTCTATCGTCTATCATCTATCATCTATCATCTATCATCTATCGTTGCGTCAGGAGTCAGGACTCAGAAGCCCAACTGCTAACCGTGTCTCGTAAACACACTCAAAAACAGTAGACTCGCCCTCTACACGCCGACCGTCGAAATAGCGAAATAGCGTGAACGGTAAAATGCTAGCCATGTCTACAGTCAACTTCGCTTATAACGACACTCGGCGGGGCATCAAAAAGGTGTCCTTATTCGCGAAGTCTCATTATAATGTACATGTATTACAGTGGGATGGGACTTTGCTCTGGGCATGGAAATTCTGTCGTTATTCGCGAATTGTTGTTATATCCGCAGCAGTCGTTATTAGCCAAGTTGACTGTATTATACTCACGTTGCACGTAAGGCCTCGGTCGCACATGAGAAGTGTCCACCGCTTTTGCGGAGGCGAAAAGTTCCGCTGCCCCTTTTGCGGAACGCATGATGCAGCGGTCACACATATTGTGATTCTCTCAAGACTCGCCAAAGCCGTGGTTCGTCGCCCGCTTCGCCACAGAATACCTGTGAAGAATAAAAGCATGCAAATTTGCAGCATCATTAATTTTTGTGGCCAATTCTCTGCGCTAGCCTCTCTACTCGGGTGAAACGATCACTGAAAATTGGCTATCGGTTACCTATAATTATTTGTTCGACCGAGTTGTAGGTTATAGCGAATATCTTCACCTGAATGGCTGCTACTTCCCTCTCTTTTGTGAGAAGTAATACAATGAAGCACATCAGAATAATAAAGTCACAGATACCAGAGAACTTGGAATGTCAATTGCCGATTCTCCATCGTAGATATCATGATTAGGGTTACGAGTGACTTGGAGTGCCTGTTTCCAGCATTTGCACTGCCTGAAAAGCTTTCCCAGCACTTGATAAGCACGGCTTGCAAGTATCGAGTGCGACCATAACGTCAGTATCGGCATGATTATTTCACCCCTAATCTCTGCTGCTCATTTACACATTTTTGACGACAATGATGACATTTGTTTGCACGTACACATCATGCTATCACACCTTGATGCGTTGCAAACACTATTTTGACTTACTTGCATGCACCTACTATCAATAGCTTCTTCTAGGGGCAAAATACAATGCATTCACGTACTTCATACTGTTACTAGTTACTAGTACCTATCGTCACCTACACCTAACGTTAGGTGTTTCCAAAAACAAACTAGCAAGATGACATTGTATTTGCCTACCTGGCACACCTGCATGACTGCATGTAGGCCTCCTGGTCACCTGGTCGGGGTTTACCAACGCAAACTAGGAGGGGGGGGGGGTGACGTATAGTGTAAGGTGTTTGCCTATTGACAATAGGCAAACACCGTACATCAACCTACAAGTAGCAAAGTAGCCAAGTAGCCAAGTTTGTTTGGGAAGCACCTAGGTGAGGCAGCTAGTTTAGTTCAATACACATCATTACCATGACGTTTTGATGTTAGATATTCCTCACACACAACTCTATGGTCACCATGTAGCCTTTACTCATCCTTCCTTAGTTCTGTTTGCATCCAAACACTCCTGCCAAACAACAAACGTCAGATAACCAAGAGCCTAACACAACACTGCCTTCCATATTCTTCTATTATTCCAGTCTCCAGACTATAGCCTATATCAACCAACACTTGTTCCCGATTGTCTTCAGATATGTAGTGTTCACCAATCTTGAAAAAACTTTGAATTGAAACTTGGATAGCCCGGAGTGAACTAGTTTCACCGTTGAATAGTTTAAAGAAGCGAAGTTTGTGTAGAAGTAATCATGGATCGTGAGCGCCGAAGACAGGTTAGAATTTTTACTGCCTTTATGGCACGGAATGTCCTGTCAAACAGCCTCATGGATGTGTGCGACATAGGCACGTCCACTACGACCGTCCAGCGAGGTAGTGGTTCACTGTCTGCATATTCCATCATCTATTCCAGCATGGATACCCATAGTTGCCATCCTCGGAGTTCGTACGTATGCAGACGCACTTCTGGGAAGAAAGAAACGCCGTCGCTTCTGGTCAGCGCTGAGGGGCCGAGGAGTCTGGGAGACTGATTTCCTCCGTAACTAACCGCTCATTACTATGCAGTATCGTGTTCTGGATTTCGAAAACGCGCAGTATATTTATCATTTGCGCAAGGGCAAGGAGGAATTTTGGCGATTTCACGAGGAATTCGGACGACTGCTGGCAAGAAAGGACACAAAATGGAGAGCGTCTATTCCTAGCCACAAGCGACTGCCCATCATGTTGCACTGGCTGGCACATTGGCCTACCTTCCGGGAACTGGCGAGACAGTTCGCAATCCGAAAGTTCACCGCCGTCCACATCGTTCATTCAACCGTAGATAACTTGTTTAACGACATGGCGTCACGGTCAATCCGCTTCCCAGAAGGGAACGAGATGAAGAAAACCATGCAAGAACTTAAAGATTTAGCAAAGCTTGAGAGATGCGGAGGAGGTGTGAACGGAACGTTTATGAAAATCAAAAAGCCACCGGTGCAATTCGCAGACTGCTACTGGTGTTATAATAAGTACTCTGCCATCATCACACAGTTGATGCATGCGGCTTGTTCCTGAATGTGAATGCTGGGCGTGCTGGATCGGCCGGTGACGCTTGCGTTTACGCTTCATCTCGGCTGGCACGCAAGATTGGTGAGCGGATGTTCCTTACAATCAAGGAGACTGGAACTGAAAAGTTCACGATCAAAGGCTCATACATTCGCCCGTATCTTGTTGGCGATTCTGCGTTTCCTTTGTCTGCCACGCTTATGAAGTGCCATGATGACAATGCGGCCCTGCTTCCCTGGCAGCGGACATTCAACTATCGACTAATCCGTACCAGGCGAGTGGTAGAGCATGCGCTTGGGAGGCTGAAAGGGCGATTTAGGGTCCTGGTGCACAATAACTTGAATGACCCAAAGTTTGCCAGTCGTGTAGCTATTGTCTGCTGTGCCATTCATAATGTATGCGAGCGCTGGAGATGTGCAGCGGAAGCAACATGGCTCATCGACGATGCGACATACGACAAGTACCATGCTGGGCAAAACGATCAGCCCAATGCGGAGTTTGATCAGGCTGGCTTGACTATTCGCAACAAGCTAGCTCAGTACACTCATCAGCAGGCTCCCATCGCATGAGCAAACTTGGCTTTGTGTAAGTCAACAGCATGGAAGAATGCTATTACAGTGATCCAAAGCTTCCATTTATGAGCGATCCGTACTCCATCATTGGTACTCATTGTGATGATGTCAATAATACCTACAATGTACATGCTAGTTGATACGATATAAAATAGAGGAGTTTTGTCTTTAGTGCACACATCATGTACATGCCATTGTAAACCCTAGCTCATCCATGCACTCCATGCATCATGGTACTACAATGTTATCACTGCATGTTCGCAGTAGTTAAACCAGCTAACGCATATAGAAATCCACGACGAATACCTCCTTTTGAGACAATCATTTTGCTTTCTTAGTTCATGTTTCTTTACACCATTACCACAGGCAGCTACCAGTACAGACGGGATAGACAGCAACATGCTTCCTCTTCCCCTCTCTCGGAACGCTTTCCCCACTCGGCATGCAAATTCATTTTCTGGATTAAGCTAATACTTGCTTCTCAGCACACACGTGCATATTTAAAAAGCTGGTTCAATAATAGCTCGCCTACAAGATGTTCTCTCCAGTTCTCATTTGCCAGATCATCGATCCTTTTATAATCTCCTATCTTCAAGTCCTATTTTCATTGGTCTCCGCTTCCGCAGCAGGCAGTCTTGCAACACCTATGCTGCATTTTGTTCCATTCTGCACACGCCTACCTAAGTTGAATTGACAAGAGTTTCGTTGTTTTTCATTGCTAGCCCAATCTTCATACTGATTTCTCCAGGTTCCTTTAGTACTCCTTTTGTTTTGTTTTCAGTGTTCTCTTTTCTCCTGTTTATTCTCAGTTTTCCCCACCATGGCTAGTTAAAATCGCCTGCATCACATGTTTATTGGCAGTATGTCATCGTGATTGTGGAATAATAATAATATAACAAACAGCTTGAGCTTTGGAAAAAAGAATCATATGCGTGCCGAAGATGTTGAGGGTCCACTGCATAGGCATTAAAAGAGCTTCATTCGGACATTGTATGTACAATCAGCTAGTCGTTCATCCCATCGTGTATATTGTATAGCCATGTCAGCAAGAATGTAATTAACGCAGAGAGATCATTCGGAAATAAGTCACTGATTTGACCAATAAATTAATCGCTGCTGAGAAACGCTGAGAAACGCAATTACCACACCATTACCAACGGCAGCTACTAGTATAGACAGGCACGGCAGCAACAACAAACAGCTGGAGCTTAGGAATTAGAAAGAATCATATGCGTGACTAAGACATTGAGTGTTCACTGCATAGGCATTGAAAGAGCTGCATTCGGCCAATCAGCTAGTACATCCCATCGTGTATACTTATTGCATAGCCATGTCAGCAAGAATGTAATGAACGCAGAGAGATTATTCTGAAACAAGTCACTTATTTGACCAACACATTTAATTAGAGCCGCTGCTGCTGGCGTGTCGTCTCCTCCTTCCAAAGATGTTCTGCATCAGCGTATCTTGGAATGTCATCATGGATTGCTGCATAGTCATAACAAACTGCTGATGGCGCTCCTGCGCCCTGGCATCCTTGTCTTCATCCGCTCCTCAAACTGCTGTTGCTGTTGCTGGAGCTGGGCCTGCATTCATTCAAAAAAAGAAGAAGAAAGTTAACTGTCGTGTCCGTTCCCCAGGGACCCCATGACGCACGCTAACACCCAATAATCCAGCTGCAGATGCAGCGCCTAATGGTGACGAAGAACGTTACAATAACAGAGTAACATTTTATAAAAGTACCCTATTTCCAGAGTAAAAGCCGCGCTTAAATACTCGACATCAACCAAAAAAAGCTGGTGCGGCTTTATGGTAAAATGAACCGTGAAATGTATGGAAGTCGTCTATATTTCGTTATAAAATCTGGGCATCATGGATTGTGCTAAGTCCAAACAGTGAATATCATAATTATCTCCAGTGACAGACTGTAGCGGCTAGCCTCTAATAGGTAGCTGGCACTAGTCGCTACTGCTTGTTTGACATGTGCCACCAGAACTCCTGTTGTGTCATGCTATAGATGCACATGCCCTATTCTGGGGCATACTGAGGTACTTTGATTTTGTTGCCTGCATGTAGACAGCATCCACTAGTAGTACTCATAGACCTTGGCTCTTTGTAGGTCAACCACCATCGCATGGATCGATCGGTGACTATGCACTTGGAGGTTGGAATAGCCCGCGCTGAACAGATCTTGCCATGGCCGAGGGAGTAAACTCGCTTACTCGACTATCCCGGTTTTAGTCATCCAGCATGAGTGGCGCAATTTGTCCATACCATGTTGCGAGCTCACAGTTGTTTGGGCAGATTTTGAGGTGCACCACGAAACAAAGCGAAATAAGCGCGACTGTAGAGCAAGGAAGCGGCGAGACGGCACTTCCAGGACGAGACAGGCAGTAGAGATGTGTTCACAGCATGAGAAACCTCTCAAACCCTCCCGGTACTCCACAGTTACAAGAAAATGTCGGACTGGACGAAGAGCCAATGCACACCTGCTACATCCACCCACGTAGATAGCTGCCAAACCAGGCCAATGTCGACCCACTGCATACCGGTATGTCAATGCCAAACAGATCATGCAGGAGAAGACTGGGATATTGGCGTCCAGTGTACAGACACCAGTCACATTTCCTTTGTCTTTTGCAGCGTACAGGATAGACTCATCACTATAGAATCCAATACTTCGTGATTTTTATTTGTAGATTACATGACAGGCGTATTCAGTGTGCCTCGCAGGACTGCGAGATGCTGCAGAAGACCAGGTTCGACCTTTCTGGACTGCCATTCACCGACGGTGGGCTTCACGATGCTGGAGGAACTAGATTCCAGTAAAAACCCACGATTCCTTTGCTCCTGGACGCTCCGAGGTGTTGTGATATCTGCCAGGTGCGCAGTAACTAGTATTTTCATCGCTATGGCGAGGACGACGCCTATCGGCAAACTCCCGCTCACAGCCATCACCAGCTTATCAAAACCATCACCTGGCATCCCCCAGAGGTATAAGAGAAAGCCAAAACAGCTCACAACAAACAAAAGGTAAGGACGATGGAAAGAGAGCATGTCAAAAAGACGACGAACGGTATGAAGTTCAAATGGTTTTGAACACTCGTACCACCAACTATACCACTTTCAATAAATCGTGACGCCATTTTGTTTTAACACGCATACGGTCCACTCGGGTGAAACGATCACTGAAAATTGGCTATCGGTTACTTATTTTATATGTTCGACCGAGTTGTTGGTTACAGCGAATATCTTCACCTGAATGGCTGCTACTTCCCTCTCTTTTGTGAGAAGTAATACAATGAAGTACATCAGAATAATGAGGTCACAGATACCAGAGCACTTGGAATGTCAATTGCCGATTCTCCATCGTAGATATCATGATTAGGGTTGCGAGTGGCTTGGAGTGCCTGTTTCCAGCATTTGCACTGCCTGAAAAGCTTTCCCAGCACTTGATAAGCACGGCTTGCAAGTATCGAGTGCGACCATAACGTAAGTATCGGCATGATTATTTCACCCCTAATCTCTGCTTCTCACGTATTAATTTTTGACGACAATGATGACATTTGTTTGCACGTACGCATCATGCTATCAGTAGAGAGGTTCCGGGGTACGATTTTCCGTGCCAAAATCCGTATGTGCGCTACGGATTTTTTCCAGGCGTGCTCCATACGATTTTTCGGCACGGAGAATCCGTGCGGACTGGCTTTCATACGAACCATGTTTCGTATGGAGATTTTGCGTCATCGGGTGCAGAAAGATTTTTCGCTTCCAAATTTGGTACGAGAAACATCGATTTTCCGCGGGAAGTTTTGATCTCGGTACAAATTTTCAAAATAAAAAGGCATAGCGCGGGAATGTGACGTGTTTGCGATCGTAACCTAGGCAATGACAGCAAGCACATAAGTTCCGTGCTCCGGAACTTTTGACTGCTCGAAAAAGACGTATAAAATATCCGTAGCGCCTCCACGGATTTTGGCACGAAAAATCGTACTCCGGAACCTCCCTATCATCACACCTCGATGCGTAACAAACACTATTTTGACTTACTTGCCTGCACCTACTATCACTAGCTTCTTCTAGGCGCAAAATACAATGCATTCACGTACCTCACCCTTTTACTAGTTACAAGTACCTATCGGCACCTACACTAGCAAGATGACATTGTGTAGTATTTGACTACCTGGCACACCTGCATGTACATGTAGTCCTCCTGGTCACGTGGTCACGGTTCACCAATGCTAACTAGGAGAAGGTGACGTGTACTGTACGGTGTTTGCCTATAGACAATAGGCAAACACCACACATCAACCTACAAGTAGCCAAGTAGCCAAGTTTGTTTGGGAAGCACCTAGGTGAGGCAGGTAGTTTAGTTCAATACACATCATTACCATGACCTGTTGATGTTAGATATTCCTCACACACAACTCTATGGTCACCAACTCTATGGTCACCATGTAGCCTTTACTCATCCTTCTTTAGTTCTGGCTGCATCCAAACACTCCTGGAAAACAACAAACGTCAGATAACCAAGAGCCTAACACAACACTGCCTTGCATACTCTTCTATTATTCCAGTCTCCAACCTATAGCCTATACAAACCAACACTTGTTCCCGATTGTCTTCAGATATCTACTTGTAGTGTTCTCCAATCTTGAAAATAACTTTGAATTGACACTTGGATAGCCCGGAGTGAACTAGTTTCACCATTGAATTGTTTAAAGAAGCGAAGTTTGTGTAGAAGTAATCATGGATTGTGAGCGCCGAAGACAGGTTAGAATTGTTACTGCCTTTATGGCACTGAATGTCCTGTCAAACAGCCTCATGGATGTGTGCGACGTGGGCACTTCCACTACGACAGTCCAGCGAGGTAGTGGTTCACTGTCTGCATATTCCATCATCTATTCCAGCATGGATACCCATAGTTGCCAACCTCGGAGTTCGTACGTATGCAGACGCACTTCTGGGAAGAAAGAAACGCCGTCGCCTCTGGTCAGCGC